ATAGATTATATTTAAGAAACTTGTAACATTTCAATTAAATCGTAATCGTGGCAAAACATTTTAATAAATAGAGATGCTGTTTCGATTTAACAATAAAATCTGCAATTTAGGATTAATTTCTCAATAGTCCAAACAACGACAAAGATTTACTCACAATGCATTTATCTTTCATTCAATGTATTCGCGCGTGATCTGATGCAATAATAGCGAAAAAAATTATTACGTAGTGAGAGAGAGAGAGAGAGAGAGAGAGAGAGTGTGTGTGTGTGTGTGTGTGTGTGAGAGAGAGAGAGAGAGAAAGAGAAAAAGAAAAGAAGAGGGATTCTCTCGTATCGCGTGTCGCTCTACGCGATACGCGCGCGTTTCGGAACCGATGATTTACGATAAGCAATAATAATGATGGTGTCGAGTCGCGACGAATCAATCAACACGGCGCCTACGCGATTGTAATCACTTTTGATAGTGACGTATCGCGGCAATATCTTTCGCAAGGATCAAAGAAGAGTATGACGATGAGGCACGACGAAGATGCGCGGCGATCGTGGAGAATCGTCGTCGCAATTCGGGGAATTTGGACTCCGCGATGGCTCCTTTCATTCTTGGATACCATTATTTACGAATCGCGCACTCAATCATCTCATACCAATTGAAACAACGGGAAAAGGAAAGAGAGACAGGGGGGGGGAAGGGAGGAGAAAGAGAGAGAGAAGAGGAGAGGGAGAGGGGAGGGGGGAGGAGAGAGAGAGAGAGAGAGTCAGTGTATCTACGCAAAAATTTATACACGCGTTAGCGTGTATCAAAGATCCGATGAGATCTGATCGAATCAACATCGATAGTTCGCGGTAATGGATCGCGGACCGCGTCGCGGCACATGTGCGGCTGTTTAAAAGCTGCATACTTTGTGCTGAAATCTTTTGCCAGCATTCGCTCTATTTTCGCCGATGATGAAGTATTTCGCGATTCCGAACGCGTGCGTCGTACTACTTTGCGAACTTTAATTTAATTTGTTCTCATTGAAACGAGAACAAATAACTTTTTAGTTATACACTTCTTTATTCTCTTTTCTTTATACACTTTTATTCAAGCACACTAGAGAAAAAGACGAAAAAATAAGAGAGAAATTTTTATTAAAGTTTTATCGAAATTAACTGCAAAATGTTAATGAAACATACTTAAAAATATCGCACATATTCGAAGATAATAAAAATATCTGTATCAACTTAATCGTAGAATGCTAATTGCAAGTTAGTTGATAAAACATTTCTCGCACGTGTTTGTTTTTCTTTCGTACATTAAGTTTATAAAAAAAGTCTTATCTTATGTGATGCTGTCATTTCATTGATAAAATTTGTACAAGATACAATATTTAAATCCTGAGAAGAGAATATCTTACGCTTACTTGTATTCTGCGTTATTTTCTTTTCAATGTTTTAAAACTAATGTTAAAGCACAGAAAATTTGTTGAATAGGAGAATTCCAATTTCATGCAGGTATGCTAGAAATATTCGAGATTATGCAATAGTTTTGAGAAAGAAGATAATATTTGTGCAAAAAAATTCCCTTTTTTTATTTCGTTTCTTCTGCAGACGGTTTTAAAGGCGACATCGTGCTCTGGTGCAAATTGTTGCTGCCCGGCGCTGTAAAGCGAATTTACAACTTGCAGAGCAAACAGCTGATAAAATTGTTCGCGCGATTGTTGCTTCAAGACGAGGACGAAATGCTGGAGCATTTGGAGCAAGGCGACGTGGCCGAGACGATCAGCGTGTTCTTCGAGAACAGCTCTGTCGTGTCGCCTTGCGCCAAGAGCACGTTGACGATCCAAGACGTAAGTTTGTGTAATTTTGAAAATTAAGAAAAAAAAATTTGAATTAGATACCCAAACTGAGAGTTGAGTTAAGATCAATTAGATGATTGACATAATATCAATTAGTAGTACATGTAATAAAAATTACTTCTGTAACATAATTTAGTGAATCACAATTAATAAAAGCGACATGTAGAGAGTTCGCGATCTTATGTTGTTACTAACGAAAGTTTGTTTCGCGGGCAGGTTGACCTGTTCTTAGAAAGATTGTCGCATTTGACTAAAGAAGAGGAGCAAATTCAACATTTTCGATTCATTCTTGATAAGTAAGTCCCTCGATCGACTGTACTTCTCGTTAATCTTCCAGCTGCGATAATTTAAAAGCGTTTATTTGAATATTTATCGATAAATAACGAAATACATAAGCGTCATTACAATGTGCGCAATTTCGATTTATTTTTATATCCAATCAACATAAAATATACGATAATTATTTCGCAAATTGACAGTGAAGCCTCAATCACTGAAAATTTATCTTATTGAAATTTATTGAAAGTCATATTTATTCATATAAAATTGCTTCTCATTATTATCATTCTTTAAAGTATTTTATACGAGGCGAGTAAAATTTAAGAAATAAAACGATAAGTTCGATAAATTTATATTATATATGTCGCTAAAGAATTAAGCCAACATTCTTTTTTTTTAATTGTTTTGAGCGTTTGGATAAATTTCAGATGTACTTTCAACGATCTTAAGATGATCATACGTTTGATCAAGCATGACCTGAGGATCAATGCAGGTCCAAAACACATGTGAGTATGTGTTTGGTTTCTTTTATTGTTCTTATGATCGATTCGACGACGGTATAATAAAATACATACATGTATTGTTGTTTAGTCTTGAAGGGGTTCATGTGGATGCATATAGGGCCTTCCAGATGTTTCGAGATTTGGAAACGGTAATACGACGTTTTCTACCGAACGTGGACAAGAAACAGGGTGCCTCGAGTTCGTCCTTAAACCGCGATAAAGTGGCTGTTTCGTTGATGACACCCGTCTTACCAATGCTGGTACATAAAGATAAATTGAATTATCTGATCGTGTGTTTAATAAATATAGCATAATTATGAACAAATTATTTATAATACAATTGATTGAATAGGTCGAAGCAATAATTTAGGAACTAAATAATTGCTTTGGATAATAATTGAATTATATTAGGAGCTAATGACACAATAATTAATAATTGAGAATTGTTGATGGTTATAACAATGATTAATAAGTTGATTTGCATCGGAGTTAAATAATTGTTATTATTAGTTTTGCTAATTACTAGTTCCAATTGAGTAATCAGCCGCGTGGGCAATTAATTAATTATTAAAGGCAGAAGCGTGCACATCCGTGGAAATGGCGATGCGCAAATGCCCAAACGGAATGTTATCAGAAGTCAAATATGATGGTGAACGTGTACAAGTGCACAAAAGTGGAAATGATTTTCGATATTTCAGTAGATCTCTCAAACCGGTCTTACCACACAAGGTAGAGATAATAATTTGTGATTGATTCGCATTGAATAATAAAGCGTAAATTGTGCATGATGACATTTTTCTCGCGCTTTTCGAAATTGTGTTCGAACTTTAGAATAATTCTTGGATAGCGGAATGATAATATATATTTTTAGGTGAATCTTTTCAAGGATTATATAGCGCAGGCATTCCCCGACGGTGACGATCTTATCCTTGATTCCGAGGTTCTTATGGTTGATAATGAGACCGAGCAACCTTTGCCTTTCGGCACCTTAGGGATTCACAAAGTAAGAGTGACGAATTTTATCTTTCACTGCTGATTGTTTGTCTGCGCATTTCTATGATTTCTAATTAAAACTCTTCCTACATCTTTCTTTATTATCTATCACTCTGTAATAATGTAATTATTAATGTACTATGTAATTGTATAAAATTTTCAATATACAATTGCATTTTTATATAATTTATTATAATACTAATGATTATTTATTCGAGTTTGTTTTTAGAAAGAGGAATTTAAAAATGCCAATGTGTGCCTTTTTATATTCGACTGCTTGTACTACAACGGCGAGATACTTATGAACAAGTAAATATTTTAGAGTTTCACTCTAAATACTTTTGTTTTTATATTTGTAATATTTTATCCTTTGTTTTCTGTTTCAATCTTTTTCCTTGTTGCGTGTGCATACTTTTATTTTAATTTGTTTTAACATATTATTTTGTTAGTTATTTTTATATTTTGTGGACAGTGTCTTTTTTAATATGACTCCATTTATTTTTATTTTAAATTACTCTTACACTAATGATACAGTCATTTTTTTTCTTCTTTGTCTTCTCAGATCTATGCTGGAACGCAGAAATATCCTGAAGGACAGGATGACCGAGATACCGAACAGAATAATGTTGTCGGAAGTTTACGAAGTGCATGTAAGGAAGCAGACACTTATTGTTACTTATTTACAGCAGTATCGTATCGCTCATTGCGATTCCTGTCTCGTTTCAGGATCCGCGGGATCTTGCTGAAAGGATCGTGCACGTGTTAAAACTGGGTCTCGAGGGTTTGGTGCTGAAGGACATCGATGTATGTATATTTATATCGCGATAATATAATATAGGATATTTATTATAATATACTACTTTTAATTGAACATTAATTATATTTAATTACTTATTTACTTAATTTATATACTTGATTAATATTTTTATTTGTGATTTCTGGTGGTACTTAACGTTTTCAAAGTTCTATAACTCTAAATTCTCGTAAATATTTTTTCGAGAATAAATTGTTTTATTTTTTCGAGCAAATCAATATGCATTTTGAAGCATATTTTCAGAGCAAATACGAACCCGGCAAGAGACACTGGTTGAAGGTAAAGAAGGATTATTTGTGTGGTGGTGCCATGGCTGATAGCGCAGATCTCGTCGTGTTGGGTGCCTGGTACGGCACAGGCAACAAAGGTAGGAATCGTGATACTTTATTATTTGGGAAAAGATTTTGAGATAAAATTTAAAATAAGATTTGCATAATTTTGGAGGACTTTCTTATTACTACGAAATTATCACCAATTTTGATTATATACTTTTTTAGGAAAGTCAAATTAATAAAAGAGAACTTAGATATTTAGAAAATTTATTTAAAATACAAGTTGATGGAAAAATAAATCATTTGCATCAATTTTATTTCGATATTTCCGGTATATATTTTTAGAAAGTGTTTGTGTAATTTATTTCTACAGGTGGCATAATGTCGGTCTTCTTGATGGGCTGCTATGATGAGGAGCACGATAGATGGTTAACTGTTACCAAAGTAAATAAAATACATAATTATTAATTTAATTCAGGCTACATGTTTATAGAGAAATAGAAATTTTATATACTGCCGATGACAGGTTCATACAGGACATGATGATGCCACTTTAGCGGCGTTACAGGATGAACTTGACATGATAAAGATCGGCAAGGACATGGAGAAATTGCCGAGCTGGCTGCATGCGAAGAAACCTATGGTGCCAGATTTCATAGCGAGGGATCCCAAGGTAAATTGTAGATTTCAGTTAAATTAAGTAGGAATAAATTAAAACACAAATAACACATATAATAGGAATAAATTAAGATATTTTAAATATTAGATGACCTCTTTTCTATGTTTATCTTTTAATTATAATAATATTGCATTTTTTATTTGATATTTTATATTACTTTTTATTCGCTCATGGTATTTTTGTTATTTTTTAAGTTCAGATTTGCTTCATTTAATTTGAAAATTACACTAAAGTATAAAGATTTATTTCTATTTAAACTTATAAAAGTATACACAATGTATATAAGAATGAACAGACGAGCAATATCATTATATATTCGGTCATTTACCTGCGTTTGATCATTGATCGTTATTTTGGGGGGAGCAGAAACAGCCGGTGTGGGAGATAACGGGCGCCGAGTTTACGAATCAGGGGATGCACACCGCGGACGGTATCAGTATCCGGTTTCCGCGTGTAACACGTATTCGCAGCGACAAGAATTGGTCCACCGCCACCACTCTGAACGAGCTGCGCCAGCTCTTTCGCAAGAAGCCCGAGTCCGTCGACTTTAGCCTCATACTAGGAACGTCGGCGGATGTCAAGAACAGTCCGAGGGAGAAGTTACCTAACTCTGACAAGTCTCCGAAAAAATTGGCGAACGTGAGAAAGAGAAAGAGCTCGCCGGACGAGCCGTCGACGAGTTTCAAAACCGAGAGACAGTCGCTAGATATTCCGGAAATAAAAAAAAACCCATCGAAAGTTATAGAAGAATCTTTTGAGAAACGAATTAAAGATAAAAGTAGCGAAGAATTTGACAGTATCGCAGATCTCCAGTCGGAGAGAAAGAGATTGAAAACAGTGAAACGCGAAATTAAGGTAGAAACGGAGAATCCTTCGCTAATAAGAATCAAGAAGGAATCGGAAGAGGAACAAGAAACGGCAGATGTCAAGGACATCCCGAGGGAAAAGTTAGACAATTCCGACAAGTCTCCGAAAAAGTTGGAGAACGTGAGGAAACGGAGGAGCTCGTTGGACGAGCCGTCGACGAGTTTCCAAATCAGAGAAGAGTTATTAGATATTCCGGAAATTAAAGAGAAACCATCAAGTGTTGCGGAAGAATCTTTCAAAAAACGAAAAAAAGATAAACGTAACGAGAAATCCGACAAGGTTGCGCATGTCCAGTCGGAGAGAAAGAGATTAAAAACAACAAAGGAGGAAACGAGGAATCCTTCACCAATAAAAGTCAGGGAGGAATCGGAAGAGGAAGAGGAACAAGAACGGAAGGATCATTACGTTAATCGTTTCGCTGGTCGAATGGACTCGGAAGAATTCTCTTCGGACTCGGAAGAGGATTCGAGAAATGCGGGTGCCTTCGATTCAGATGTCGAAAACATTGTAAGTAACGACGTCTTATATATATATAAAACATGTGTCTCTTTTCGAAACATGTCAGTCCATTCGATCTATTTTTATTGAATTTTATATTAATTTTTATTATTGAAAATTTTATTATTTAATTTAATATCACATTACTATCGCTACAATGAATCTAATGCAAGAAAGGTTTAAATTAAAGGAACAGAAGTGATTGATTAAATAATTTATTGAAATTTTTTATATTTAGGTACAAATCAACGCTTTTTAAATATAAATTTGCCACTTTGTTGATTGATTTCGTTTACAAGACAAAGATAAAAATACTTTTGTCAGAAAATTCGGATACTGATTAAGCCACTCTTCTTTTCTTTATCGCAAAATTTTTTGCAGAGATTTAGTAACGTTCTACAGGATGTACGAGCGAGTCTCGCGCCGGACTTCGACAAGAGTAGGAGGAAGGATGCGCGGAGGATGCTCAAAATGTATCCTTTCATTTATCGTTACCTCGCACTATGATAATCCGCGCGCTACATGATTATATTATCTTCACGTTCGCATTACGCTCGCGAATTTTATAAAAGCTCGACGATTTTACGGAGGTCGCGTTCGCTCCCAATAATTTCATAAATTTTTACCGCTCTCACACACATACACACAGAGATTTTCTCTCCCTCTCTTCGATCCTTAATCGATTTTCAAAGTAGTGCAATATCGGCCTTCCATTAACAGAGAAGTTGCATTATCGGCACCTGTAACGCGTGTTTTCTATTTCTGCATTTACAATAAGAGACTTATTATGTTTTTTCTTAAATATTTAAATATTATTGTACAATGTAAATTCTGTATTTTTAAATTATTTAGCGGAGCGGGATCGAAATTTAAAATATATATTTTAATATCAAAATATAATAACACATTCTGGATTTCTCTATAATTATTAACAACGATCGGAATATACACGTATATTGCAACGCACACATTATAAATTATTTGAGAAACGTAATCAACGAGCCGCGGGACACAAAACACGCGACAGCGCAACACGGTACGATATATAAATCAGGTCTCATTTCTTCGGTTTACAATGACCAGACGTCGCGTTGGTTTGTTCAATCTTTATTCCCGCGGGAAAGTTCGGCCACCGGTTACTCCGTGTCGTTAGGAGACGTAACATTTCCATCGCGTGGTTTATTTTTCTCGTTCTTACGGAGTTGTTCTCCGATATACCCCCGGGAGCGAATTTAAAGTCGAACGTATAACGGAAACTATTCTCCTTGACGTAAACGTTAAAACATTAGACTCGGCGCTACGCTGGTAACGCCGCAGAATAGATTCGACCCGACGACGACCCACGTCATCCATACACGCGCGGAAATTCCGTCCACGGTCGTCCTCGTGGTAAGTTTGAACTAGTTAAATGAACATAATGTACACGTGTCTCCGAGATTGTAATTCGCGATTGCGACGGTAATGGATGAAAGGACAGCTAAGAATTGAACTTAAGAAATTCGATTCTGATTTAAAAGTCTTAGCAAAAAGCTTTCGGAAGTGTTAAAAGACTTGGCGTGTGTATCTGTTGTAAAAAGAGATTTATCTAGAATTGAGTGACACAATAATAGCAGTGATAAAATATAGTTTAAATATGTTGATGATAACCAGTAAAAAAATTCATACCGATTACAATCAATAATTGATGTCAGTTTGTATCAATTTATATAATAATCTAGACAAGGAAGAAGATTTTCAGATATATAATTTATTATATATTTGAATATATAAAAAATATTAATTTTGTTTCTTATGATTTTTTCATTGAAAACTTCCAAATTAACGTTTTTTTGGGCACTTTTTTAAAAGCACACCCGGTACATTCGGTTATCGCTACGTAGACGGCAATTCATCCGGCGGTCAAATATTGGCGGAAAATCGCGAGAAAACTTAGTAGCGGGCAACGTGAAAATTTAACGCACGGCACAGGCGGAAGGTTATAACCAGATTAACCGCGGTTAATACCACCGCCATTATCGCCTCTCCACCCCGGCGTTTAGCACTTTCCGTATCCTGGAAGCAAGTTGTCGGCCCGATTAATCGTCAGCGCCAATTACCGGCCGTCGTTCGCTCACGATCGTAATTTTCCGCGTTACTACGCTTGCTACTGCAAATATATTCGCAAACGGGAATTCCTTATTATGTACACGAGGTACCTCGTGTCGCACCGCGATGAAATTCTCTTATCGAGTCTCGACACATCGACGGTTATAATTTATCGGATTTATCACAAGTCCCTTCATTTCTCTTTGATAAAAATGTAAGAGTTATTTTTCGAAAAATTATACGGACTTTATGTCTGTTTGGCGTTGTATTTTACCGTGCCGTTCAAGATTATTTTTTGCAAGCTCTCTTCGGAAGCTTTTCACGCGATGCCTATATAAGCTGATGTTTAGATTATTTTCTCTAATTGTGCGAAGGTTGTCGCTCTGTGTTATCGTTTCATCGTTTCATCGTTTCGCCAATCGTCTCGACAGTTTAGCACAATCGCTAATTTGTATTATTAGATTAAGTTTTGCGTAAATTTAAATTCTGAAGAATGTAATAATTTGTTCAACGTGAGATTAATATCATTGCACGGTGTGTCTTTTTTCGCAAGAATCTCGCGGATTTTCCGAAAACCGCCAAACATGTGAATGTGTCCTGGTTGGAAGAAACCGCGGCGCAGTCCAGAAGACAGGGTGAATATTGGCACGCGGTTCAGCTGGTCGACGATTACTGCAATTGTTCCTGCACGCATCGATAAGCAGGTATATATTTATAAACGCGCGTACAGCGCAACATTTGTTTTATATAAATATTTTTAGTAAAATAAAGGAATGTCTTTTTAATGGAAGGGAAATAAAAATGTAAAGCAAGAAGAAAAAGCAAAAGATGTCTACTTTTCACTTTAAAATAAGGATATACTCTTTTTTTCTCTTTACTTTTGATTCTATTTATCTGCTTGTAAGTTTTATCTGCACACAACCTTGTAAGAATTATAGTTTATATTAGCTTCAAGCGACCCTTATGAAAATTGGTGTTAATTTCATAAAAATTCTTTAATCAAGGAAAGTTCGCGCTGAATTAAGCGAGCGCAATTCTCTTAAGTGGTGTTTTCGACGATTAGGCGAATGAGGAAACGTAGGTAGATGGGTATGTAGGTAAAACATCATCGTTGAGGTAAATTAAATTTACGGATGCGGGTGTCACATTGTCGATATGTATTTTCGATGATCAAAATCATTTGGTGTACACGGGGGGAGCAGCGAGGGAGATGGGAGAAATATTTTACAATCGAGAGGGGCCAATTATAATAGTTTAATAATTCATAGAGTGCCGTGACATATACAGGCGAGACATCGACGACAGGCAAACGAGATTAATTGAAACGTATAGTATATCGACGTTACAAACAGCGCTAGATGAATAATGGATTACAACATGTGAAAGAAGTAAATGGACGCATAAAGAACATTAATAGTTTAATAGATACAACGCCACAAATCTTTATTCGAGTCAAATGAGGGGCACTACTAATTATAAATACTTGATAGGCTTGCCACGTATCCTGCGGTATCTCCTGATATGTATTCACGTCAGATATATCCATTAATGATTTTCCCTTCGACCCTTTGCATTCGCGCTATCGTTATTGTTTTAGCTTTAACTTAAATCTTAATCTCGCTCTTTAAAGCTCTATTTATCTTATACACCTCATTATCCGCTTCGGGAACATCGATGCAAAGAGTTCGAAAACAGCCGACAGAAGTGACTTTCGCAGCTACTTTGATCTTGAAAGCTCTAAAGTCGAACAGCTCGCAAGGAGATAAGGAAGGTTTTCTCTCTTTCTTGTCTTTTCTTGTACGCTCACCGCCAAGTCGGAAAGTTTGGAATATGGCTCCGATAAAGGAGCAGTTTTGCGAATGTTAGTGAAAAGTTTTAATAAACTTCTCTACGCTTCTGCGATGTCCGTATTTATTCTCATGGTTATAATAACAATACGCTTTAGTCAGTCGTATTGAAATATTAGTCAGACTCGCAAAAAGCTGAGAAGAAACTTTGGAGAATTTAATTATGCCAGATTTATTAAATTTAGTTATCAAGTTTAACTAAACGGTTTTTTTTATTGGGATTTTATTAAATTTTTCTGTGACGTTTGTCCGTTCAATGTATTATTTGTGTTGAATATTTTATAGTCGGGATTGCACATCTTTTTATAACGAATTATCGAGTTATGAAGCGACATTGAATTTGCTAATCTATTTCATATAATTTAATGACATATATTAAGAAAATCATAATTCTATTGCAATAATTGCTACACAGCGATTATAATAATTAACTAATAGTAATCATTATGTAATAATATAGTTATTACTACATAATAATTGCCAAAAATTAATTGTTGTATTATTTGTTAATATTAAATTGTACAATACACATTGATTTTTTTATTTAGGGATAAATCTAAAATTTTTTTTAATTTCTCGCAGTTTGACTTTGACTTCCTAAACTTCCCGACAGTGTAATGTGCGTGTACGATCTTCTCTCGCCCTCTTTTTTCTTTCATCCTGCCGCACTCGCTTATTTACCGAAGCAGGACACGGCGTTGAAGGCGCACTGCTTCCAGTAGCTCCGTTTACGCAGTAAATCGCCAATGTCCAGCTGATTGCGGAGACGCTTCACGATCTGCTTGGTGAACAGGTAATTTATCAGAGCCGTTTCAATGCTACCGTCGTCGTCTATCAGCTGGAACAATCAGATGGGACACCTAAGTACGTTTTTGGGAAAACTAGAAGGTACGTAGATTAGAATAGAATCTTAATTTTCTCTCTCTCTCTCTTTCTTATCTTGTTTTTACGATATTGTTCTTTACAATATTGTAATGAAATTTTTTAATAAAACAATAATGAATGAGGGATAAAAAGAAATAATTTTTTATTTAAAAAAGCTATTTATGGGCAAATGTTTTATATTCGAATAAAGATTATTTGCGGACGAAAAATAATATGAAATATAATGAGTTATAATAAAAGCCGGCTTGCCACGTGCTACAGTTCACTTCGATACATCACTTTTAATGTCGATTTCAACGGAAGAACGTTTACAGAAATACGATTATTCGTCGTTAATGTCTCGATAAAAAGCGAGAAACACTCGCAATATTACAACGAAAGCGAGCGCTTTTTCGTTAGCGTGGGACGTAATGGGGCGTAAACTCGTCGTATTTATCGTCAATGTCCGCGCAGTCGTTTGCACAGGTCGATTGACATTTATTTCAGTTTTCCAGTTGCGACGAAAAGGCAAAATGATGTAGCCCCGCACGTAATTGCGTTCGCGCGTCGCGCGCCGTTCCGCTCGTATAATTCGCGCGGATGCGCGCCCATAAGGTCGCCCAGCGTTAATTTTCAATTAAGTGAAATTGAGAATTACCGTGATAACGCATGCGGTACAATGCAAACTCAATCGAGAGAGAGAGAGAGAGAGAGAGAGAATTTATAAGCAATATATTTATTTGCACATCGAAAATATTATGCGAAAATATACGATCGTTTGACGCGTTAAATACGAAAACGCGAAAATACATGGTTGAACTAGATTTTATAGATTTATCAATTTTGAATGTAGAGACATTGATTGGAAAAGACTATCTTGCTTAATGCACATTATTTTATTCAAATAATTTGATACATTGACTATTCCGCTCGTGTATTTTATTTCTTAATCGCCTAAAATCTTTATTAAATCTAATTTTTTTTAAATTTATAATAAATTTTAAATGCGAAAAATTTAATAAAAATTTCTTCAAATATCAATTTTTTTTATCAAGTTCAATATTTTTTCTTGTTGGAATATCGAAAGTCCGATGTTCTTTTTATTTCCGTAGAATAATATTTTAAAGAATAAGTCATAAGAAGGTTACAATTTAATACTAAATTTTTTCAATTCAATATGAAATATCGTACTATGCAATTTCATATAACATTTGGACCGTTGAATGCATATGACATTTGGATCGTTAAATGCAATTTCTTGGATGCTAAAGATCGAAATGCAGCAAACAGGTGCTTAACTCTCGCTAAGCGAAGAAAGTTGTGGAAATCCGATTCTCGTTGGATTATCGATTATTGGTTCATGGCATTCGAATTTATTGGTCACAGCCACTTCCGCACTTGCTTGACTGCTTTTCTTCCTTCTTTCTTCTTGATCTTGATTTATCTTTACGGCTCGATGCACACTTGTGGCGATAAAATTCTCGTCGCCAATAAAACACAACGCGAATAGCAACGCATTGTTTCTTATTTTCCAAATTGTTATTTTTGAAATTATTTTTCACTTTAATAGATATTAATTTATTTGTGACCAAAAATTCTTGTGCAAATAAGTTGTAAATAGATCAAAACATTTATTAAAATTTATATTGTATGAATGCCACGAATCTAAATTACATTGAACGAGTTATTACTTTTTACAAGTTTGTTTTACATCGTATCGGTCATCTAATAAATCGATGCGCTTCCTTTCTTTCATGATTATTCGAAAGTTTTTTTTTTCTTTCCTGGAATCGTCTCCTACGCGATGCGCGCAGTTACGTAACGCATGCGACGCAATTTCTCGCGAAACATTTATTTCGCGCGTCGCAGATAGATAGCTCGAATCAACATTTTCATAAAACTCCCCCTCTCTTGCGTACAGCTTATTCTGTCTCGTAACGGAAAACAGAACGAAGCACAATCAATGCGTAGCGGAAGTGGCGCGATTCCTTCCGGAATCTATTATATAACAATATTTGCCGATTTGCCGAATATTTCCGCAACGCGAAAATGCCGTTCGACCGTGATTGGTAAATTTTGCATTTGTAATGGTTAAAGGGCACTTTGCATTTTACATTCCTGCTTCTTCGTACTTATTTCTGTACGTTGTTGATGGATATTCATATTTTTCTCTGTAACCATAAGGAGAGCTCGCGCGGTATAAAATTTTTAAATTGAACGTAAATATCATATTTCTGACGGAAATCGAAATATCGGAGAAAACAAATTACAATGCAACGCGTTCACGAAGAACGGAAGGTTTCTTATGCGGATGGAAATAATGATTTTTTTCTTCTCTTTCTCGGAGCGATCGTATAAGAAACTTTAGCACCGTTCTTACGCAGCTCTCGCGCGCATTTTTAACTCTTTTTTTTAACAAATATGTCGTCATTGAACATCTTACATTAATTCGATTCAATGTCGATAATTCTGTTAATGCAAAAAAGTTAAGTATAAGCGACAAATAAAATAATTTAAAACAAAATTTAATAAAGTATAATCGTGATATATATCTTCGATAATTACGCCATATTACGTCAAAAATGATTAAAATCTCTTTTAATTTTGATGTTGACAGCATTGCTCGAGGTGTTGAGAGCATCTTTTGTTATTTTGAGAACAGTATGAAAATTCTAGAAAAAGCAGTTTGTCAACTACTGTCATTCGCTCGCTTGGCGAGTGTTTGGTGAAACTATGCGGAGAATCATGAGAAATCGTTGACAAAGGCGTTATGCAAATGTCGGAAAATTTTCGCGAGTTTTGAATCGCGCGGAAACGATATACCCTTTCCGATTGATCGCGCGCTTGTCTCGATTACAAAGCGATGGAAAACGAAGACGTTTTTGACAGCTGTCACGAAGCCTCCCTGCCGCGTCCATTTTATTACACGCCGATCCGCTTGAACGAAAGTCCCTCGAAAAAGTGAAAAAGAGAGCGCGAACGAACTTTCCTTTCTCGCGTTTTATTTTTCAGAACGTCACTGGAACAGAGCTCGATAGATTCACGAGCGGTCTAGATTTTTCCATCGTTGGAAAAAAAGCGATTCCACAGACAACGATCTTTCGCGGAAGAGATTTTAATAATTCGCGGTTTCGCGAATCCGAACGCTTCAAATTTTCCTTAACTCGTCGATTTTCTCCGGCTCTCGATTATATATCGGTGAAAAGTTAATTCCTTTGGAACTTTTTTAGGGAAGGCAATTTCCTGCGAGAAATAAATGTTTGCAAATTCATGGTTCCGTGCGTCTGCGAGCTATGGATTTTTCTCGATTTTCTCGATTATTCCGGTCAGAAAAATAAATCTAAAGACAATCTAGCTTGGAAAAGGGATTTTAGATGTCGCGAGCTCGCAATCTCGTGATTTTGGAAGCTTCGGAGCTTACTTTGTTGACCCATCGATTCCGCAGTTTTCTCAATTACATCGACCGGAAAAATAAATCTAAAGACGATCTATTATGGTAAAGGATTGTAAATGTCACGCGCTCTCGCAAATTACTGATTTCATGAATTCGAAAGCCCTTCAAAATTCGCTCTATTGATTCATCAATTTTTCAACTCTCAAAACACAATTCCAATAACGAACCCTTCAAAAGTATATTGCGCGTAGGTTTTCTGCTAAGTTCTGTTTGATACTAGAATGAAAAATTTTCTCTTCGTACTTACATCCACACTATTCATGAGTCTCTCTTTGTCTTTGTCGATCGTTGGCATCGCCCCCGACCATTCCACCAAGATGAAAAGCATCAATGCGATCGCGAGTGCACTTCGTACTGACAGCATCTTTTCGAATCTGAAAACAGGCGTAAAAATGATAAAGAAAAAGTTTTTAACGAAAACGTTTTGTTTATACTGCAATAGAAAAGCATAAAGGATAATTTTATTTATTAATGATTTGTTATTGCGCTCGAAACAAAAAACATTAATATCGATATAATTAAAAAAATGTGAAATAATACAAAAATTAAAACTTTATGATAAAAATCTCGTTTTGTTCCAATTAGAGAATTTATTCTGTGCGAATAAAAACCATTAATATTAATGTGAAAATAATTGTAAAAATAATCAAAGAATTTGATGAAAATTTGTGATGAAAGTCTCGTTTTGTTGAAGTTGAAAGCATTGAAAATAATTTTACTTATCGGCGACGCAATATTCACTACCTTGACATCAGTGAAATATTCGATCAACAGGCAATATTTTCTGTACATATCACACGTCGCATGTCGAATTGTAAGTGATTTTGATCACCAAAAGCGATAAAATAACAGTAACAGTAATAGACTCACTAATGGGTTGACAATTAAATTCATGGACATATTCTTTGTTCTCCAACTCTGATAGCGCGACAAAATTCATAGTAAAATTGCTTATCTCTTTGCATTTTATTCCGATAATATATGTATATCTAAACCATATGCTTGTGGAAATTGTTTAATAAAATGTTTTTTTATCTTGTATCAAAGATAAAAGAATCAAGTTATTTGTTAAAAAGTTCTTGAAAAGATTGTGAAAATATGTTTAAAAACGAGAAAAAGAAAATAGCGGCGCGTGCTGCTCTTTTTAAGTGGCATAAGGTTTGGGCATAAAAACTGAGGGAAAAAGTTTCAACATTCTGACTGGTATTTTAATCAGAGTTCTGAGAGCGCTCTTATAACGGCGGAAAGATTGCAGTAAGTAAATATATAGGTGTAAAAATCCTATTTGAAAAGTGAAAAACATTAATTCATAACAAGGAATATAAATGTTGATTTTTCAGAAATTCTTATTTTTCTTTTTTTGATTTTCTTGGAATGGTCCTTTCGACATAACGTTAATTATTTTTATCGATCATACAGATTATTTGAGAAAAGACACAAAAAAAGACGAGAAAAAACTTATTATATTAAAATTAATTATTACATCTTTAACGATTTATTTATTTTTAGTGGGAGAGATGCTTCTTTCAAAATTTCGTAATCTAGGGCCTGAAGGATTCTGTATTCTTTGTTAATTCGAATGAATCAGTTGTGCATGAACAGGAATAAATATTGTTTGCGAATTTAATTGTCTAATCATATAGTTAATTAATTAGGAAAGGTAGATTATAATTAACAAATAAAGAGATACAATCTGATAATTTCAGTTTGTAGACATAATTTTTTCTTCCAGAAATACACAGTAATGCGTTGTCTCTGTATCTTGTAAAGGCACGTTGTTTCGATTGTACAAACGATGTGCTTAGTAATTGTATTCAAATTCCAACAAATTTTATTTAATTTTTGGCGAGTACATTCCCCACGAGGACATTCCCCACTTGGGCTGAGGAGCGCAACGAGAGGCTGAAAGGATAGGATATAAATACATAGAAGGACGAGAGATCGGTTGGACGGGGATAGCGCGGGTTTAAATGAAAAACGAAGCCCGCACGAAACTCGCCGCTCGTGGTCTGTTACACAATCCGCTAATTGGAGGGACAATCGATGCGCATTATTGGCCACGGCGTCCGTGCGTTGCGATAATTGTTGCGGCCACATCGCGCGCGAAGAGAATTTGAGTCACAAAGCTCCGACGACACAACGCGAATTTGCATGGATTTAATTCATTAATTAGAAAAGGTCACGTTGCGACAATTCGAGCAGAGCTGTCCGCGGCAGATATGCAACTGGTACACTCATAGATATACTATGTGTTTCAATAATAAAACGATGTATTAACAATTTTATTAAATTTGTAAATATACAAATGCGCGCGTATCGCGGCAGTAGAAAAGAACTTTTGTAGTCGAACGTTGTTGTAATAACGACTGTCATGACGTAACATTTCGAATAAAAAAATCAGATAAAATTGAACGAAACAGATGAAAGTAGCGACAATAGATACAAGGAATGTAATATAAAGACAAAGGGATATTTCTTCAAAGGAAAAGATGAATTAAATCTTTTGCACGCTAAAGGTAAAGTTTTAAATTCTCGTGATGCGTTAGAATGTGAACAGATATCAATGAATTCCAAACATTATTTATCAGAAAATTTTTATTTGCAGAAGGAGAAAAGAATTGAAATTTTTATACCTTAAAATCTCTGTTTTTCAGCTGGCCTTAAAATTTACGCTTACACTTGAATATTTCACCTATGCTTTATATATATATTATTGCATTTACTTTTAATGAAATTATTATAATATAAAAGCAAAAAATTAATTTAGTTGGGACGAAAAATGCATTATTGAAAGTATCAGGAGCTCTAAAACGTTTTTTCTATGTAAAAAAATTCTCAATTTTATATTTTTATTTAAAGCTGATCTCTTAATAGAAAAACAGCAGATATCTTGCGTTAACTATTATATAATTTACTGTTATTCTACAAATAGTAAATTCAATTCTAACTTTAACTTTAGTTTTCAAATTTTGAATTTCATTAAAAATCTGATTAGAAAAAGCTTTTTGATAATATAAAGGAGTGCAAATTTATGACTTTTAATTTATTTATATAATTGCTGTGTTCTTTGCGAAGAAATAAGAGTATAACTGTGTTACTTATTGTGAAAAGTAAAGAGCTAGTGAAAGAAGATCCACTTTGTCCCTGTCTTTCTGCTCGACGCACACGGTTAAATTATATCGTGACTTGTAAACGAGGTCGAGGAAATCGTGTTGGAATTCGGGAAGCTTGTACTTTGCGTATTATTTGTTGCACCCTCGTTGTATTCTCGAAGAGTGCGTAAGAAATAATTACAAAGAAGTTCATTTATATTCCAATTTTAACGGAGTATCTTCAGATTCTATATATTAACGTATAGAAGCAATGTCTGATCATAAAAGTTTTTTTATCAAGATTTTTATTTTGCCAACTTATTTACTATTTTACTTGTGCTCCGATTTATTTAATTTACATACATTTCATTACTTACTTTTTTCGGCAAAGAAAATGCAATATGTTTAATTATTTTTCTTTGCGAAGGAGCTAAGAGCTGTGTCTGATCATAAAAACGCTTTTCTACTGATGCGCTACGCCGCGCGCACAAACGCGCTTTTCACTTCAGAAATTTATTTATTATGTATACGCGTTCTAATTTATTTAATTTATATCTGCATAATGCCTGCAGTTATTTTTCTTTGCGAAGAAAATAAGATTCTGTTATAAAAATTTTTTTTGACATTACGTTGAGCGCACAAACGTGCATTTCACTTAATAAATTTATTTATATGCTATTTATGCGTTCTAATACAGTTACAGTGCTGATACAGTTACATCTGTATCATTATTCTTCTTTGTACAGTAAATTTTTTTTATATTTTATGTTATTAAAAATATAAACACTTTCTTTGCGAAAAAACTGCGACACAGGAAATTCTGGATTAAATCATGCGAGATTTTAAAAACGCGGACTAGTACCTCGTGTAGACTGGTATCGTACCCTCGGCGTACCCTCGTGCCAAAGCGAGGAAGGGATGACTTGAAAGTTCTCTTTCGTCTCTCTCTCTTTCTCTCTCTCTTTTTCTCTCTTTCTCTCTCTTTTTCTCTCACCACTTCGATGTCTCCACGGCGGAGTGACCGAAACTCGGAGCACGCGGCTACTTTATACCCCACGGTGGTGGCGGTGGTAGCGGAAACCCACCCCCAGCAAACCTACGCCACCACCTCACTTTAACCCATCCTCTCCCGCCTCTCGCTCGCACCTTGCTTGGTAGTTCGCATCCTATTTCGCCGGATACAGTGCGTATGTATTGTTAAAGTGTTTTGCTGAAATTTTAAACGATCCTTTTTTTTGAGTGAAAAATTAATACCGGTGCGTTCTACTTTCTCAAAGACGAAATGGCAAAGACAATGACTTTTCTTCTTTATTTCCGGCCTTTAGTTTATTATTTGCGACAAGCATGAATATTATAGAGAACATTTCTAATCTAAATAATAGTTTGTATTAAAACTATTTTAGAATCGATTTTAAAATCGATAGAAGACGTTTCGGTTTTATCGGATTACATTGTTAACGACAGCTTTTTTGACCAATGTCGAACTTTTTAATACTTATCTGGCGAAACATATGTCGATAGATAGTTAATAAAAAAATTTAGCGTGAATATCCAGCATTTGGCCTCGTAGCTTTCTCATTTATTAGATTTTACATTTTATTGGAGCCTATAATATTATTAATTTTAATACTTTTTGCACGAAATGACTTTTATATTGTCATCTTTCTAATTTTTTTTAAGTGGAAGAGTCTATTTGAATATCCAGGAGATATTATGGGACTCTGCAATTGTTAAATAGGTAATGATATTTAAAGGTGACAGGGATGCGTAGGATATACCTAGGGTCGCTATAGGTGAAATAAAACGGACTATTAAAAATTAATGAATTATTATCTCATTTGGTTATTCTTTTTTTTTTGTTTGGTCTAAAATAGAACAGATATTCGTGAAGAAAATGAATTCTTCATCTTATTATTCTCAGTATTCTCGTACTACTAAATTTTTTACAAAATTTACGTATTGTTTTATTAGCAAATATACATTTAAAGTTAATTTTGTGAATTTACGCACTCTTTACGTAGAATAAAAACTCTTCGGTAAGTTTTAACGACTTGTTACAACTTGGCTATTCTCCGCGACAAAGTGGCAATCTTAGGGATTGTATCGCTGTGAGAACCAACGACAAGCGGTCGTTTTATCGTCTTTTCTCTGCGTCACCTGTCTACATAACACGATAATAAGATTACATTTCTTAAAGGTTCCCTCGCGCTCGCTCGTTCGTTCTTCATCACGCGTGTACAAATTAAACATCTCGCATTATCGATCGCATGTGTCCACTCGTTTGTCGAAACATTCAGCGAAATGCCAACGCGCTTACACTTACTATCACTTCCGAAGTGAAATCAGTGCTTCTCTCTCGCTGCGATCTCGACCGCATTGCATCTCGTCCTTGACGTGATGTCGTGAATTCGATGGGAATTACGTAGCACACGCGAGCGAAATCAGGAGAGGAAATAACGGAGGATGGAACGATATTCGCGCAAGCAAACTAATTACGAGCACCGGTGCAAGTCTCCGATTTTAAAAACGTATCGCGGATTCCAGGACGCGAGATCACTGAAAACGTATTAATCATTATTATTCACTCGGGAACGCGTCATCTCGGTGTAAGTTGCAATATCGCATCTCTCACGCTGCGGCTCGCTCTTTTCGTTTGAGAAACGAAACGCGCGCGTCCGAGAAGGTCCTTACCGGAGCTTCTGGTCCTTTGAACTACTAAAACGCGGAGGAATTGCGGCTGCGGCTCGGCCGCGGAATGCGTCTTCCGTGCCGAGGACTTTAATCGACCGATACACAAGATAAATAGAATGTGTATCCATCACGCTTTGACACGGCCAGTGTGCGTTAACAGTGCTTATTCGCGTTGACTTGATGTTCTTCTGTTTGTCCTTTTCAAAAACGCAGTAATAGAAATGCACGGTTGCATGCCCATTGTGCACACACCTGTGATGATATTATATATTATTTAATTCTAACGAAACATTTAAATATAAATTTATTCTTACCGAGAGAGGACTCTCGCATACAGCACACTTGCTGCAACATGATTGCAATGTTATTGTTAAATTACATATTATTTAAGTGATTTTTCTCTTTAGGAGATTTCAAAGAGATGCATATCTTGAGACTTTTGATTATTTTAACTGTATTTTAATAATTTTTATTATTTGGTTGCTTTCACTAATGCACTGGTGACATACATAATTAACAATATTTTCACTTGTTAAATTGATGCAAAAGATTTATTATTTTTCCATTAATTTCTGTTTTAAGCACTTGTTATTTTATTTATTTATATATGCATAAATACCGCTTGATCTGTGAAAGTTGAAGCAAGCGGATTGCGGTGGATAGTTTTACGGCACAAAGATATATATATATATATATAAATGATTTCACTTTAATGAGCAGAATTTATTTTAAATAATTGACGCAGCCAAAGCCGATGTTTTAAGAAAATAATTTGTTTATTTACCATGCAAATAATTACAGAGAGTTATTAAAACTGTCTGTGCATAAATAAACAAGAAAACAGTTGCTCTCTTTTTATTTACAGCTTTGTTTATAATGTGATATGTCAAAAAAGGATTTATTATATTTGCATTTTTATAATTATAAATATTATATTAATTATTATAATAATAAAAGCACTGTGGTAATAATTCGTGTACGCAAACAATGCAGTGCTTCTTATGGATACTTGAAAGATTTAGCGTTAGCATTCAGCGACGGAGCGAAGCTCGGTATTTTTAAAACTGACGTCAGAATGGCAGGACAGTTGGACACTGGCAGCAGAAATAATATCTATCATTTTATCATGGTAAGCCGTTTATTCACTTTGATAACAAACATAAGAAATAGAGAACTAAAGGATTTTATGATCAGCAGGTGAAAATGTCGGAAATAAGAAAGGTGTTGGACTTTACACATCCGCGACAAAGACATCACTGAGAATGGACATATAATATCTATGTGTGGAATTGATACGCAAACTTCTCGTGGACACGCTGATTTTTAGGTAAAACAGAAATGATCTAAGAAAATTATTGGAATTACTTACCGTGCATCATTTAAGATAGCAGAAATACGAATAATAATGAAGTATATAATTGGTGCGAAAATACTTTTGATCGTTCAACAGTCTTGTTCGCATCACTGAAAGTTAGATGACTTGTTTTTCAAAGCAAACTTTCGAGAGAAACAAATTTCCTCTTGCGACTTCTATCACAGTTGTCTTTCATTAAAGTTGGCTTTTATTACAGTTATTTTTAGATGCATTATTATATGCTATTGCTTGATGTTATTATTAATTTTGTAGTAGCTAAACATATTTGCGCTGTAGATACGCATTTTTTATTATTACATATCAGTGAGTGTCGAATAATGAATGTATCGTCAGCAATCCGACTGTCAAAAATGGCTTGTCACCCATCAAGACTTTTTATGAATCTTTAAATATAATGCATATTTTAAAATAAATTTTTATATTTTTCTAAATTTTTGCAAGTTTAAATTCCGTTTTATAATTATTACAAGATTAACACTTTTTAGAAGAATTACAAGATTAATACTGTTAATAATAATTACAATTAATAATAATTACAATTAAATTTGCTAAGATTTTTGATAACGACATTGATACATTTATTCAAATTTCTTAGATATATTATTTTATTTCGAAGAGACAAGTTTATTTCTTTCTCCCTCCCCCTCTCCCCCCCCACCTCTCTCTGTCTCTCTCACTTCTTCCCCTCCCCCCCTCCCTCTCTCTCTCTCTTTCTCTCTTGCACAATTTTATTTATTTACGTTTAACAAGGACGATCCGCGCGTTCGGCCTTCCTTCTATGGATTAAGAAATCAGTTAGTATTTGACCGTATACCTGGTAAGTTACTATCTCCTATTTCTATTCGTTTGTTATAATTATTTATTATAAAAATAATTCGATATAATACAACATACATTCTCGTACAAATGCTTCAGTAATTGTATTATTATATTGCGATGCAACAGTTTTTCTTTTATGTCTACTAAATTTGATTTTATTGCAATTTACTGTGAGCATTTTACATAAAGTTGTTTTTATTTGTATGGTATACGTAATGTAATAACTTGCGCACAAATAATGCTGTACTTGTTACGGATACTTTTTGCAGATTTGCTTTTATCTTAGCAAATCTTATCCTTGTAATTATAGAATTCGCGTAAATAAAAATAGCAAAACAAATGGCATTATAATACGGTTGGAAAAGATATTTTATCCAAGATCTTGTATCTATCTTGCTTTCGCGAATTAAGAATTTGAATTTTATTCTTTCAATATAAGAGAAAAAGGTATATAATTTTTTGCAGCAACACAATCAATTTCCCGTACTATAAATTCTTATGTTGTAAAAATATTCATATAATGCACATCATTTGGATGCTCTTACAGTTTTTACCATTGCTTCTCCATTATACATACTGGCTAAAGTAAAGATAAAAAATAAAAACATTATTTTATTTAAACAATCAGTGTTCTGTTGTGTACAACATTGTACGTGTGAAATATGCTCCATGCTAGAGGAAATCATGTTCGAAACTTAGCAACCAATTTAAGAGACGACATCAAAAACACCATGTTAGAAAATTCTGAGGCATCGATGAAGTCTCCGAAAAAGTCACCGAAAACACCGACAGAGTCACCGAACGAGTCACCGTTAAATAGTACATTGAAAGAAACACTAACAAATCCAACATCAAGCAAGGAACAGTAAGTTGTCTCTTTTTTTCTTTTCATTTTTTAGTCAACAGAAATACTTTGCCACCGTGCAACTGCGATGTTGAAACAATCGCAAATGTCAATTAACATACAGAATCTGAATAAAAAGTTATATAGAATAAATTTGACAATACTTATCAGGGACACGATTCTCGCGGAAAGAGAGTTGGAGTGTAAGTTGAAGAATGACAGAAATTTACAACATTATAATACGAAATTCTGGCAGCTATTAAGCATCTTGGATACAGACTTTCTCTTACAGATTGAAACGGTCTTGTTGTATGGATGGAGTAAAAATTGTAATTTGATTCCTATTTTTTTTCTTTGCCATTTTTATTTCAACGATATTGTTACTTATATTTAATATTTTTTAAAACAGTTATAAACTATAATGCGGCTTTAATTGTAACGAAAGATAAGAACGTTTACGAGGTGGGCACTACATTGGAGCATTTAGGATTAAACTGTATAAATAGTACTCCACAGCCTGAAAAAGTAAGAGCTCTGTGTCAAGAAAATATCAAAACCATGATAAGTAGTTGTGAACCATGCTTATTCGTACTGACTGAGGAAGGAAAGGTATATTGAAAAGTTATCGATATATAATATTGATTTTATTTATTGAAAATAAATAGTTTCTTTTTATGAGATTTAAATTGGAAAATTTTAGCATTAAAAGGAATTAACAGCACAATATTGTAAGACGATTATACAGATTTTGTTCTTTGGTTGAGTAGAAATTAAACTTGAAACTTCAAAGTTGAGATGTGTTTTGTGATACACACTTTTTTAATACTCTGATAATTTGATCGAGACAAATAACATGCGCGTTTTGTGTATTTGTTTTTATAATAAATCATTTACATATGTAATTTTAATTATTTGCATATCTAATATTTTGATAAGTACATAAGAAAATTTTTACATTTTTGGTATTCACCGATATGAAAAGTCGCCATAGATTATTTTATAGAATTTGCAGAGATTTCCATTAGGTCGTTTCATAAGTTTTATCGTTCTTTTATCAAAAGTTTGACATGAAATTACAGAAAAGCATTATGAGTTCAATCATCAATTTTTCCTTGATCATGTATTCTCCCGTTTTCTATCACTCCTTCTCATTAAAAAATTAACTTTTCTATTCTTAACTTATAAAAACTCTGCGATTTAGAATTAAAATAATCTTTGATGCCATTTTTGACATCTCATCAAAATTTTCCTCTCTCGAAAACTATCTTTGGCATGTCCTTGCATCTAGGGCTTGTGGATAAACCAAATTAATATTTTTAGTTGCCACTGTTGTTTTAATTTTTTTACGAAATTCATAAAGCATACAATGTCGCAAATGTCTTTATTTGGGCTTTCGGTTGCCATTCTATAACTATTCTGTCAATCTTCTTGAAATTTGCACCAAGATTAAAGATTAAATATTAATAAACAAAATAAACAACTAAAAACAACGTGGTTTTGACAGATAGGAAACAATACTTTATTGAAAATCGATAATGAAAAAACAACAGGACTTATGAAACGATTTAATACAAGTTTACAAAATTAAATATCATTCCGCACGCTGAGTAATGCAAGCCAAGTAATTTGCAAACTTTTCCATTTTTATACTCGACTTTTGTAATATCTCGTGCATAAAGGAAGTGAAATAACCGAAATCTCTAACAATCTATTCTCTTTTTTAGATATATTCCTGGGGCAACAATGAAACTAGCAAATTGGGACATAATACAACGAACATAATTAATGAATATGGATTAATTGATACAATAATATTCAGCCCTCTTCAAGTGAGTGGATTAGCAGACAAACACATAGTGGACATTAAATGCGGTTATTTTCATGTTCTCGTGCTCACCGACGATAGAAAGGTAAAATTGAGATATAACAATTGTGATCGTTGTGAGTTATACAGTTTTTAAATTTAGGTGTACGGTTGGGGATTAAACAAACTCGGACAAATTGATGATACTAATGCTGATGATAATCTGGCTGGAATGCCGATAGAAGTCGTAATTAAGGATGAAAAGGATAAAAAGAAAGCAATTGAAAGCATTTCTTGCGGCTCTACTTTCAGCATGGCTATTACTTGCGACGGCGAACTTTATAGTTGGGGCGAAAATGTATATGGTCAACTCGGAGTTGGCGATAATCTCATACATTGGAAACCGATAAAAATTATGATAGATGTCGCAATAGGTAATTTTTTTACTTGAAGCTTGTTGTTGCAAATAAGTGACGAAATAAATATCTCAATAGCCGGATCTCAATATCTCAATATTTGATCACTTATTAACAAAATAATTACTATTCAATATTTATGAATGTGAAATTTAAAAATAATATTTAAAAGAGAGCTTGAGTAATTTAAGTTTTTGCATATAAAACGAATCAGAAATTGTTTTGTGATATTTAATTACATAATAATATTTAATTACATAATAATTAGTACAATGAGCTATAAAATAATGAGGTAATGTCATATAAAGCGATTTAGATTAATTCTTAATGATTTTATTAAGAGTAATATTTAATAGCGCTAAAAGAATGCATTTTTAATCAATCTCTCAAAACAAATTTCTGATTTTCTCATTTCAAAAGTATCTTGCGCATGTATTCTACATTATGCCCGAATACTGGTACCTTTTGTTAATATATAATTAACTATTAATTAATAATCTTAATTTTGATTTTATTTTTGTTACGTAAATATTTATCTTTGTCGTGTGTACAAAACAGATGAAAAAAATATTACTTTGATAGGAAAAATTATATTTTCAATAATGATTTAAATATTCGACTATTGTGACATTTATTTAATCTAAGACTTGCCGATGCGAGTATTCCATTGATTGCGAGCAATTTCAGCGAAAGTGGAATGCGGATTAAATCATACGTTGGCGCTTAGCCGGGAAGGTTTGCTCTATGTCTGGGGTCGAAACGACCAAGGACAATTGGGCACGGGGAACTATCACGAAGCCTATCATCCCATTCTGGTAATCGCTTTATATGTTGTATATATTATAATAATAGAGACGAGAGGTGTATACAATAACCGAAACGTTTGATGATTGACAGATGGACACGAAGAAAATCGGGAAGGTGACGGATATCGCCACTCAAATTGACTGCAAGAAAAGTGCGGCAATTAATACAGACAAACGTATCTACGTATGGGGTGATTATGCTTCTTATGATATTTTGAGCCCAATTGTTGTTAATCTTGACAACATACAAGACGTGTTCACAACGAACATAAATGTATCGCGCAAGCCTTGTTTCGTCAAAGTCGAGAAACAGAAATCAAATATCCTAAAATGTTGGGAAGCTGCATTCAACAATTCCGTATGTCACTTTCTTTATTTTTTATTTTTTATATTTTTATGTTATAAAGTATAAAGTATAAAATAGAGAGATGGGTAATGAATGAGATTTGCATACTCTGTTTTTCTGGGGCAATTTTGAAAAGGATTATATTCAAAGTTCATCCTTTGTGATACATTAATTAAAACAATGTATTCTTGGACAGAAATAGCTCTCAGTAATATCTTTCTTTGTGGCCAATTATTACAAAAAAGAGATAGAGAGTGTGCAAATACTTTTTTTTACTAATGCAGAAGCGTTGGAGGTAACGAGAGATAAGAAGCAAAAAATATAGCGGAAACAAATAAACCTAATAATATTCTTTCATAGCTAAAATTAGATTATATAATTGGTAAACATACACATAATTATTCTTATCAGCATAAATGGATATACGTATATACAGTAGTCGTTGGACATAAAATTATTTTTCTTCGCTTGAAAGATAAAAATTTATTTCCAACGCTCGTACTCGGCAAGAGAGAAGTCAGTAGTCTTATCAGATGCTATATCAGATTCAGCTTATTCGGATTCTGTTGAAAACTTACTGCTAATGAAATTTACGTGACAATTATTGAAGAATAAAAAGTCGCCTTCTTTTTATAGCATCCCAGAGAGAACAACAGGTCTAAGAAACGTCTAATAGACATCTAATAGATGTCTATAGACGTTTATAGACATCTATGAGCCGTCTATTAGACCTGTTATTCTCCCTGGGACATTGATCGATTTCGAACAATAATTTTATATAATCCGGAACTATTGTATGTACATAATTAATAATATTTGTATGTGTTAGATTTGATATTTTTTTTGATAAAATCTGTTTTAAATAAAATTATAAATTTAAATTTTACTAAGAAATTTAAAAAACTTGATTACTTAATAATTACTTTGATGAATAATTATTGTTTCTAATCTGCATGATATATATTTTGTTTTTTTATCTATAACGATTCTCATCTTTTATTTATATGCATAGACGTCCGCTGATGTTGAATTTGTAGTGGATCAACAATCTTTACACATTCACAGGACATTCATAATGATTCGCTGTCCGGAAATGTTTAAAGTAGTCTTTGCGAATAATACAGATAAGTAAGCATTCATGACAAAAACAATATTGTTCTTATTAATAATGATTTAAACTTATTTCATGTTGTATGTCACCGTGTTCTCAACAGAGTCATCACTCGAAATGATTTCTCTGCTGCTTCATATAAAGCCTTCTTAAAATATTTATACACTGATGTAATTGATGTAATTGATGTATCTCATGAGGCATTAGGTAAGCTCGAGCCAAGTACATTATCCGATTGTACTGTAACTTAGAAATTATGACTAAAGCAACATTTGGTTACAGAGTTGTTCAGCTTAGCTATTCTTTACCACGAAGAAATTCTTGTAAAAAATTGCAGTCGGATGATAAAAGAAATGACTACCATATCAAATGTCATGTATTTTTATGGCGCGGCGATATCGTCGAAAGTAAAGGTAATTTTTTTTTTGTTTAATATCACTTTTCAATATCACTTTTAAACCTTCGCATTCTATAATAAATTCAACATTTTTTTATTATAAAAAAATATTGAATTTTATTATGATGCGTAAACATACTTCCAGTTTAGTAACATTTTATATTTTACAATTTAATAAAATATTCATATATTTCTAGAGATGTAATAACATTTTATATTTTATACTTATAGTTTGATTAAGTATTCATGCCAAGTATAGTTCGATATTTGAACTGCTGAAATAAAATATGTGATATCGGATACATGCTTGACTGTCGAGTTATAAGGATTAACGCTATTGTTAATTGCAATATACCCATACATGTTTATTTATATGTTCGTCAAATGTTACATAATTTTGCAGGAACTGGAGGAGTTTTGTTTCAAGTATGCTATAAATAATCTGACGGCTGTGGTAAAGACAGAAAGTTATGCTGAATTACCAGAAAAATTGCGGTTTGACTTTGTAATTAAAGCAGCCGATGCTCGAGCTTTTAAACATTAATTTGTCTGTCTGGGAATTTATTAGTCTATATATTTACTAACGTATACTAATAGCAGTCTGATAAAAGATTAGTATGAATAGGTTTATTTTAAATATTTAAATTTGCATTTTAATCGTCTTAATTTGTATTTTATCCATAACATATCGTGTGAGTAAGTAAATTTGATATAAAATTGTAATGTTAATTTATGTGCGCAAATAATGTTCCATTTTTTACGGATTCTTGCTTCGAGATTAGAGTTAATATTGTAAGACTCTTGAGATTAATTTAGAATTCACACAAACAAAGATAGAGAGACTGTGGTAGAAAAGATAAGACTTATATTTAGCAAATTTTAATTTTCTAATTCTGAAATACAAGAATTAAATTAATTACAATATATATATATATACATATATATAATTACAAAATTTTATATACATATATATATATATATATATATATTTTGTAATTTTTAAAATTATATATATATTATATATGAATATATATATATATATATTATTTTTATATATGTACTTATTATGAATTTTATAATTTAATTTTTATAATAAGAAATTTCAGTTTTAAAATGATGGATGTGTTCGGATGTATCCAAATTTGTATATATGTAATAACTAGAGATGCCCATTGAAGTTTCCTGCTTTTCCACTCTTTACAGTTGCTAATGCTTTTAAGAATTAAATCGTTTACTTTAAAGATATTTAAATCGAAAGATTTTTATATAAACATCACATTTATAACTTAATTTAAAGATTACGTCAAATTGAAGACAAATATGAAAGATACTTTTTTAAATACAGCAACCGAAATTTGTGGTCTTAAAAAGTAATTTGTTTGCCGTAAAGATGAAGCATTTCGACTGAGCTGTTATTTTGGTATGAATATCAATTATTATTCGTAGTCTAATCAATCGATGAAAGATTGATTTGAATAATTCATTTTCTCATTTGCATTTTATAATTACCATATCGCAGAAGTAAATCTGGTTTTAAATGGAAAGTGATAAAAAAAAACATTCCAAAGAATAGTAATTGATCAAACATCACAAATATATATATATCAAATATCACAAATATATATTTGTACTTTAAATAATATAACGATTTAAAAAAGTTCTGGATTGTTTTTTTTTTTTAATAATATTTGCATGCATTTAACGTTTTAAGATATTTTATTTACATAGACTTAACAATATCTCTCATAAATACATCTATTCTCTCACATACATTTGAATTATAGTAGCAGTATAGTTACAAAAACACATCACAATGGCGAATATAAAACAATAAAAATATACATAATTTACAAGTTGTAGGCCAAAGGTGGTAGGAAAAGTGAAAACCAAAAAAATATCCATACGCGCTCGTACATATATATATATATATATATATATACATATACACACACACACACTCACACTTCTCTCTTCTTCTTCTTCTCTTACAAATGGCGTAATTTCATTTCGAAATGTTATCGGCAATGATCTTCGAAGATATAGCTTAGTAGTTGGCCCCTCCTATTAATGTTAACCGCGTTTCGTAAGAATTTCTTGTAGGTATTTCCGTGTTGAATTCTAAAACCCGTATCAGACTACACATGAAAAATTAAGAGATTGCAATTACACTTAATCAAAGAGGACAGAGATTTCTTTGCCTCGATTGATCAAGTTTCATGTGATCCAAATCTTGAATCCAATTCTTGTGCAATCGGATGCAGATTTAACGCTATTCCGCGTTACGAAGAACAGCGTGAGAATAAAATCTGCATTCTCTCTTCACACACATAATGTAGTTGCTTTTAGTTATACACCGTATTTACACAGCTGGATCGACATATAGAATCGGAAGCAAAGTTGGAGGCTCTCTAACTGAGCTCGAAGCCTGCGCCAGCCTGTATCGCGTATAAAAGTTTTTCGCGCAGTGTTTTTTCGTCTTGAAACTCGGGAAGCTTCAGCAAGTTCATACAGGTACTCGAGGTCGGCAAACGGTCCACACTGCCAGCGTGCTGGATGCAGAACGGTGGATCAAGTTCCTGCAACATATTCTTTTATTATGTATTTTTTAATGCTTGATATAAAATGGTAACATCTAGTGTCACAATTTTCAATATATAATAATTATTTAACTATCGTCAATTTGCAATGCAATAAATGTGCTCATAATATACTTTAAATCCTAGGAGAGGAGGACGGCTACAGCTGGTGACGAATTTCAACAGCTGGCCCTTCTGGTGATCACTGAACTCGCTGACGACCTTCCAGAAGGCGGTGATGGTCGGATGATTGGCCGTGTACCCGCCGGTATAGTTTGTGTGCAGCTTGAGGTCGTTTACATCCACGGGAATCTGCGCACCCGCTATCAGCACTTGCAGCTCTTTATTATTGAACATCTGTAGCCAATCGAGCGGTACCACACTACCAATACCGCCCTTGAACGCATTGCACTGCGTGCGGATTTGCTTATTCAGCTTGTAATCAGCCATCAAATGGATATACTCGATGCGATTGTGATTCGTCACGGGAATGTTGGCGCCGCTCGGCTTCAGCTCATCTATCCGGCGCTCGCCCAGCTCATCGGTCAGCACAGTAAAATCGAGTCCGAGATCCGCCACGTCGCCCTTGTAGCTCTTCAAGTAGAGCAGATTGCGATACATGATGGGATCGAGGGAGGCTAGATGGTGCACGTCTACATCTGACTGACGGCCGACGATCTTCGATAGGAAGAATTCGGCGAACGGCAGCTCAACCAATAAATTCTCGTAGATGGCCTTCCCCAGGATTCTGCCAATGAAATAGTAATGCTTCGCGAAATCGTCAACCAGCAATTGCACTGTAGGATTCGGATACAACATGTTGTCCTTGGTAAGCTTGAAGAAACCACGATTGGGATCGAAGCTGGTTTTGAGTAACTCGGATAGAAATTCCCGAAAAAGACCACCGCCGTCAACACCGGCTTCCTCTAGACCTGCGCTGTTTACTAACTGTACTCGCATCTTACGTCGCAATTCAGGCTCGTTCTCCGGTGAGAGCTTCTCAAATGCGTCCTCGTATAGATAATTGCGCCTTACGGATATCTGTATCGACGGACCGTGCATAAAATGTGCGAGTTCGTTCTGCTGCTCCGACTTGTCCTTGAAGATCAGCGATTGAAACACCACAACGCGTTTGCTGAACGGTACAACGAACGGTATCTCGCGCAGTAGAGTCAGCGTCCGCACTTCTGTCGCTGATAGCGGCGGTCCTTCCTCAAATTCCTCCCGTGTAAAGGCTCGTAGAGTTTGAAAAGGGACGTATCCGCGGAGTCTACGTTGGCGCGACGCAAAGTTCTGCGGTTTTTCGAACGGAATGGTGATGTTAGATGCGATCCAGTGGCCTTCCGGGCAGAATTGCCGCCTGAGATCGCGCGTGTGTAATTGTCGTAGAAGACTCACTGTCACCTTTAACAGATTGGTTATATAAGTAAAGTAAGATTCAGT